GGGTGTATTGTCTGTATTAGGGCCAGGCGTCAGAGGGATACCAGATGATTACGGTAGCCCAGCCTAAGATGGCGCCCCTGGAGAGAGACTTACTTTTAGGTGAGCCGGTGGTGGGTGCGGAGAGCCAGCGCTGGAGAATACGGACGAGGGCAAAGCATCAGCAGCAGGAACCACCGAGAGAGTGAAGGAGGTCCGAGAAGGAGTCCCCTCGGGTAAGGGGTGAGCTCCTCCCGAGTTTCGGCACCAATGAAAGGACGACAGGACCCGAGCTGACACTTCACCAGAGAAGTTCCACTTTATTCGGGGGAGAAGCATACATTTATATAGCCGGGAGAGGGTGGTTAGTACACAGGGCGGTAGTTGATTGGCCGGGGGCGGGTAATGATTTCTGATAGGCTGCACCTTGGCGCCGGCGATTAGGCTGCATCTTGGCGCTGGCGAGATTGTTAGGACCCAGAAGAGAAAAGTGCCATGTTTTAGGGAGTGCCTCCTTTGGGGTCTTCTATGGGGCCTTACACCTACTTAAGGCCCTATCTCCAAATATAGTCACACTGGGGGTTAGGGCTTCAACCCTAATTTTGGGGGGGATACAATACAGTCCACAAAAGGAAACTTTGGAGGGTAGCTTGGATTTCTAGAGTTCTTATTAATAGTGGTATTTTGGGCAGGGAGGTGGAGAATGTACCACAATTACTGTGAGATACTACACATAGATTTGGGAATTGGAAGGGAGTTTAGTAATCCAATCCTTAGTTTGTAGTTAAGGGAGACCCAAAGAGCTCAAAAGACTTAACTAGATTAAATTTGGGACTTAATTCATTTTACTCTCAGTAGATTATTGATAATACATGTGAGGCCTTATGCCCTTTACATTCTTTTCCTCTCACTGTTACTGAACCCAAGTCTGGCTGCCTGCCGCCAAATGGAAACAAAAGACTCAAAAGTCAAATGGGTGAAAAAGAAAGGCAGCTTTATTGAGGAACGCCGGCCACCTGAAGAAGATTTAGGCTAACCCATCTCCCTGGCTCAGATTTACCGAGAGGTTTAAGAGGGAGGGAATGGAAAGCAAGGCAGGGAGATGTGAGCTGTGGGGGCTACGTGTAAGGGGGCCAGGTCCAAATTCTCATCAAGGCACCGTCTGATTTCTGTTCTGGTCCTTGATGTTATCTTAGGGTTCTGCAGGACTTTGATATGATTTGGGGTAGAATCAGCATAGCTTTATTGATGTCTTCCTTGCTGATGCCCATGGTCAGTCTCCAGACATCTGTCTCAGAACTTAGCAAGCTTCAAAGAAGAACTGTTAGTTTTTCAAGGTACTGATTAGCTTTCAACAGCCTCATTTTTCTACTTAGCAAGCAAGAATAGAAAGGGGACCGGAACAAAGAAAGGAGAGAAAAAACTGTCTTTTAAAATTTTTCTGAAGCTCGGGTGATTTTAGGCTCCAACATGGCTTCAGTCCTGCTCACTCCAGCAACACTAATTATAATCTGTATTTGTGTGTCTTACTTTGTTGCTGTAATGTCCAGGAAGATCAAAAACTTGCCCATCTTGTTTATTGATCTATCACTAACAGTGCCTAGCACATTGCCTAGCCCTTTGGAAGTACGCAACAAATATTTGGTGAATGAATAAATGACTAAATAATTAAAGCTAACCTTTAATGAGTATTCATTATGGGTCATGCTCAAACCTCTTTACATACTTGATTTTATTTTCAATTCATCCTTCTAAATTTTGAGAGGAGAAATCTGAAGCTTAGTAAAGCTAACACCCTTTTCAAAGACAAAGCTAGGAAGGACAGAGCTAGAATTTGAACTCAGGTTTGGCTGATCCCAAAGTTCATCCAAATGCTTAATCAAAATGCTAAACTGCCTGCTTCAAATTCAACACAAGGATCAGAAGGAAGGGAGAGAGGCCTCTGGGAAAAATAGAGAAAAACTGTGTGGAGCTTACTCTTTTTAAGATGCGTCTTAAAGCATGTCTGGGTGCTGTCCAGCAGAGAACAACCACTGCTTTCACATAGAGGAAAGAGCACGAACCAATTCACACAGGTTGGAAAAAGCCACGTGTATTTGGAAAACTGAATACATTCAGGAGACCAGAGAGGTCAAAATGTGAAGGGTCTTGTGTGCCGCGGGTCAGCAAACTACAATCTGCCGGCCAAATTTGCCTCGCACCCCCATTTTAAAATTATTTATTTATTTATTTTTTAAAGGCTAGTCATGCAAAGCAGTGGGAGTGGAGAAGGAACAAAGAAATCCGTAACTGATTATGATCAATTAGTTGTAAACATCACTTCACTGGAACCAACCCCACACCCCATTTTTGTAGAGTCTGTGAACTGAGAATGGCTTTTACATTTTTAAGGAATTGTTAAAAAAAAATTGCAACAAAGACCACAGGTGGCTACCAAAGCCTGAAATATTTACGATTTGGCCTTTACAAAAAAATTTGCCAACCCCCTGCAATTTGCCTGGAGAAATTTACATTTTACCTTGTAAGACTTTACCTTGTAAGGGGCAATTGTTACGTATTTAAGTAGAGAAAGGATGCTTACCTGTGGGAGAAAAGGAAGGCGGAAAGGAGAAGGTGATCCTCAATTTTTTCTCATTCCTTTGGGTAGCTTCAAAGATAGTGGGAGTTGTTTTGGACTGGTTGAATCTGTAGATCATTCAAATGCAGATATCTAGTAGGGCAGGACAGTGTAGCCTAGGAGGGGAGGGGAGATTGCCTAGGAAGTGAGAAGTGTTCTGTTTGTTGTTCTGTCTGCTTTTTGTTTTTCTCAGTTCTGACCAGCTTGTTTTTAACAACTGAGGTTTCCAAAGAGAAGACCTTGAGGAAAGGTGGAGCTCAGGAAAGGATGATCGAGTTTCATTATAGCTTCACTATGGATTAACTAACCTCATATTCTTGCTAGTCTCTATAGATTAGTGAAATTATATTGGGTCATGGGAAAAGAGAATTTGCTTTTTCCAATCAATTTTAAATTAAAGAAAAACATACAATTGAACCTAACAGGTTGATTATTTGCATGGATACAGTAAGAAATAAAGGAACACAAGTTACTTAATAGTAACTAGAAATTAGTATTGTAAATTAATACCGAGAGGGCTGTTTTGTTTAATTGTACTGCGACTGTGGATGCAATGCAAGTTCAAAACAAGTTTTGGGGCTGGTTTATGTTAACTTGTGTTAGCTGCTTGGTGATCAACAGTTTTTCATTCTGCAGAGTCCCATGGGGCTTCGGGGTGAACTTGGCCTGTTCCTTTGTCAGATTTAAATAACAAGAATAATGCTAAAAAATTATGTCCTTTTGAGTAACTCCTGCCAGGTCAGTTATTCAGGAGGTTCCGAAGCCTTCCTTTACCTCCTTGGGTTCCTGGTGGAAGTGTGAGAAAAGGAAGTGGGTTAAAAGGTTCCAATTCCCAGTAGCAGGGCATTAGAAACATTTCTGTCCCTTGGTGAGAGACCTTGCCTCCTTAGAAAAGCACGGTTTGAAAAAGCCCTTTCCTTCAAATGCTTAAATTCTGGTGCAGTGTTCAAAATACTGTTAAAAGTTATTCTGGGGCCGGCCCGTGGCTCACTCAGGAGAGTGTGGTGCTGATAACACCAAGGCCACGGGTTTGGATCCCATATAGGGATGGCCGGTTAGCTCACCGGCTGAGCGTGGTGCTGACAACACCAAGTCAAGTGTTAAGATCCCCTTACCAGTCATCTTTAAAAAAAAAAAAAGTTATTCTGAAAAAAAACCCAAGTAAAAGCAATTCTGACATTTGTTAAAATGATAAGGAAGACTTTATTCCAGACTACTGCAGAAGTGTAGCCAATGATCAGAGCTAGGGGCTCAATGGGTGGAAGAGCCAAGAGAAGACACCAAGGGAAAGAGGATTCTTGCTTTAGGCAGGTCAGGGTGATCAGATATCAAGGGTGGGGCATGAGGAATTTGAATGGATATTGAGAGTCATTAGATATCAAAGGTAGGAGGAGTCTCACTGCAGGATTCTTGCTACAACTGGACCAGGCAGGCCAAAGACCTGGCCCAAGGAGGAGCCTCCTGACTAGGTCAAGAAGAGAGTCTTTGTCAATACCACGCTGATTTTCCCTTTATACCACCATGTGGCGTCCCTCCCCCCATTCCTCCAGCCCTAAGGCTCTTTAAAACAAAACAACAAATTCAGGTTATGGAAAATCGGGGGGGGGTGCGGTGGCGAGGCCGGAGATGCGGAAGGAAACGGACTACAGTTCCCTTAAGGCCTGGCGGGGCTGCGATCCCACAGTCCCTCTCCCCGCCCCTGGGCCCTGCGCCTGCGCGGAAGGTCCTGCGCGAAGAGGAGGGGGCGGGGACAGGACAACGCGGCTGGAGGAGGAGGAGCAGGAGCAGGAAAAAAGAGACCATAGACTTCCATTTCGGCCTAGAGCGGCCCTTAAAGTGCCGGGGAGAGGAGGGCGGGCGGGGACCACCCCAGAGCAGGCCACCGGCAGTATCATGGCCACCCGGAACCCCCCTCCCCAAGGTGAGCGGCTAGGGCCCGAAGTAGTATCTGGGACGCGGCTCACAGGTCTCGACCTTGGTCCCGGGACGCCTCCTCCTACCCCTGCCTCAGGATTCCTGGGGCTCTGTTTCTCTGGGGTTTTTTTGAGGCAGCCCCTTTGAATACCCCCTCCGAGCTATACTTCTCTCTCCCCTCTCAAGGCGGAGAGGGACCTCCCCACCCCCAACACAGCCCTAACTCTTGCCTTAACTTCACCTCTTGGCTCTTCATCTCCATCATTAGACGTATTTCTTTAAAAAAAAAAAATTTTTTTTTTTTTAACTCTTGACTCTGAAGTGATTTCTTCCCGTCGGGCTCCTCACCGGCCCTCAGAGGAGGACCCCCCTCCTCCCACTGATGGAAATGGATCCTGCTCTGACCCTGGCCCTACTGAGTTTTGGGGGGTGACCCCTCACTGCAGTGCAACTCGGAAGTGGCCCTGGCTCCGTGCCCCCAGGCCGATCCCTGGGCCTTTGGAAAGGCGAGGGGGGTATCATTGCACTGCCCTTGACTCTTGAAGCCCTAGTCTCAGCAATTGAGTGTAACAAACTCATTAGTTTCCATCCTGGCATTTTTAACTGTAGGCCAAAAGTAACAGTGAGTTGTAACAGATAAACTAAAATGTATGGGACATTTCTGACTTTTGATTGACTCAATTTATTTTTTCCATTTTGTATTTTGAAGAGTGTGAAAGCGATGACGACTCTTACGAAGTGTTGGATTTAACTGAGTATGCGAGAAGACACCACTGGTGGAATCGAGTGTTTGGCCACAGTTCGGGACCTATGGTAGAAAAATACTCAGTAGCTACCCAGATTGTAATGGGTGGCGTGACTGGCTGGTGAGAACAACATCTTTTTCATTAAATTTCATTGGGAACTTGAACTGCTATCCTTTAAAACATGGGCCAGAGTCACCATGCACATTCAGTGGGTGTACACTGTTAATTCCGGAAAAGCATTGCTTTGAGGCTTTTCTCTGAGTTATTTATTTACTTATTTTTTGAAAAAGATGACCAGTAAGGGGATCTTAACCCTTGACTTGGTGATGTCAGCACCACGCTCTCCCAAGTGAGCCATGGGCCGGACCTTTTTCTCTGAGTTATAATTGGTTTAATCTAGGTTCAGAGGCTCCCTGTTGGGTAGGGGCGGTCCCCCCCAGCCCCCCCGCCATGCCCACCACTTCTAGTTTCCCTCCTCATCTTTCCTTTGATTCTTTATGTTTCGCCCTCTCTCAAGTTCAGCAAATGTAGTGGATCTGGTTCAGTGATAGATGGGAAGAAATATGAGTTAATTATATGTAAATTTTTACTTGTCATTCAGTGCTAACAACTGGAAAAACCTGCGAGGAACTCCCACAGTAGAACTGACCTCTAGGATTGTCAGCCCTGTAGAGAGCAGTATAAAATGCTCAGTAAAAATTGTCGATGATTATACAGATGATTCTATTTTTTTGTGGGCTAGTTCAGATAATGATAATACGTTGAAGAAGAACATTGGTTCTATGTTGGAATTAAAGGTCTGATTGTTCTGTAATAATACTGTGGAGTACATTAAGGAGGAGTTAATAAGCATAAACCTCACCAGTTAACATTTCAGGCTACATGATTACACAGTCGCTACTATTTCTAATTCTTTTATTCTTGGAATAAAAGATTAGCCAGATAACAAGGGGCAGAAATAAGTTTAACCCTTTATTTTGGTTTTCTTTTTTGTTTTTTATAAACCCTTTATTTTGAAAATGTTCATGACTAGAGAATTTTTGAAGTTAGGGTGAATAATCATTTTTTTCTTAGATTCTAAGTTAAATTCATCTTACATCAATTTAATTGAAATATTTACATATTTCTACTTGATAAGTATAAAATTAAATTTTCTTTCTTTTTTTTTTTTTTTTCTGGCCGGTACAGGGATCTGAATCCTTGACCTTGGTATTATCAACACCTGACTTTAACCAACTGAGCTAACCAGTCAGCCCCTCTATGCCTTTTTGTAAATGTCAGTTCATGGTAGAAATTCTGTGGTGCGATGAAAAAAAAAAAAAAAAAGATTCTGTGGTGCAGAGGTGCAGTACTTATTCGTGATGTGTGCTTATTAATGCTGCTGTATGAAAAAAAGCCTACAATTAGAAGAAAGAGATGCCTGGTCAGGGCCTTGGTCATTCAGATGATTCTCCACAGACTGATTGTATTTCTGTTCCCATAATTCAAGGTATGGTTCTCTGCTTAAAAAAGCTCACAGTTTGGTGCCATAGGTGATTGGTTAATTTGAGTCAGAGCCTAAATTCCAATTTTAAAAGAGACTAAAAAATAATTAGGAAATAGAATTATCAAGTCATTGTATGGTTTCTCCTTGTAGACCAGACTTGGTGAGAAGCCCCATTATTGGCAGCAGTTTTCTTGGAAAGCCTAGAGACACAGCAGTGGGAGGTAGTAGGTTAATTTTAGTGACTAATGCCATCTAGCAGAGGATACATATGCTCCCCAGGTTGTTGTGGAGACCTGGCTGCTGCTCACCTCTTCTCCCTTTTCTGAGCCTTTGTTGCTAAATCCCCTACTGAGGGATACATTCTTTATAGTAATATATACATTTGGATGATAGCCAGGTGTCGGCCCAGGAGCTAGGTAATAGGACTCTAATATTATACAGGTGATTTGTTGCAATGACTAGATTCAGTGTAGTACATTTTTGCAATTTTCTTGGGTATAAAACTTATGTGATAATGCGTTGTATGTTAGAACAAAATAGGCATTAACCTAACTAGTTAACAATTCAGGACATGAATGGGAGGCTGAGGAGATTATATTTAGTTGTAGGTAGTTACAGTTTTGATCACGATAAGAAATTAAAACTAATATGAGGATGGGTGGTTGCTAGGAGAGGTGGAATGTGTGAAGATCAGTTAGAGGGTCCTTACAGTGGTCTGGAAGCAAGGTAATGATGCCCCTGAGAATGGAAAAGAGAAGACAAGAGTCAAATAATGTTTTGGAAATAGAGTATATGGAACTTTGCCATCAGTTGTTCCAAGGATGAAGAAGGCAGAGTCTGAGATAACTATGAGGTGGCAAGCTCGGAGAATGATGCTATCATTTATAAATTGGGACCTTAGCAACAGTCGGTTTAGCTGGAAAGATGATGTTTGCTTTGGGACACTTTGAATAGGTGGTTCTGGGTGCTAGAAAAACCAATCATGTAATTGAAAGTGTAAATTTTTCATTTAGGAAGGTGTATTAGTTTCCTAGGGCTGTTGCGACAAAGTACCACAAACTATGTGGATTAAAACAACAGCAATTTATTCTCTCACAGTTCTGGAGGCTACAAGTCTGAAATCAAGGTGTCATTGTTACTGGGCATAGGTCTGGCTGTCTGCCCCTTTTTAAAAACAAATAACTCAAAAGCCAAATGTTGGTGAAAATGGAAGTCAGCTTTTATTCAGGAATACTGTTGACCTGAGAAGAGATGTTAGGCTAACCCAGTAAACCTGAAAGAGAATGGCCAGACTAAAGCCATCTCAAAGTCTCACATTTACTGAGGGGTTTTTAAAGAGGGGGTTAAGGGAATGGAACGTGGGAAATGAAAAGCAGGAGAGAGAGAGAGAGAGACAGAGACAGAGACAGAGAGAGACAGAGAGAGAGACGTGAGCTGTGGGGGTCCCGTGCAAGGAGCCAGGTACAAGGTCTCACCAAGGCTCCTTCTAGTTTCTGCTCCATCCTCGCTGTTATCTCAGGATCCTGCTGGAGGGGTGGAATCAGTGTAGCTTTACTGATGTCTTCTTTGGTTTCCCAGGGTCTGAATAGTACATACAAATCTGCAAGTTTGCAGCTTCAGGCTGGCTGGAAAACAACTTTACATTTATGTAAATAATGTCATCTTCCTCCATTACCAAGGTTCAAAGTATCAAATAGCCATGAGAAAAGAGGGAACTCAGAGAAGTGCATGCCAAGAAAAAAACTCCATCCTTTTAAAATCTTTTAGAGCCCATGGGGTTCAGGTCCCAAAAACTGCTCACTCCAGCATCAGCAGGGTTGGTTCCTTCTTAGAAGCTCAGAGGGAGAAATCTGTTCCATGTTTCTCTCCTAGCTTCTGGTGATTACCAGCAATCCTTGGCATTCCTTGGCTTGTAGACATATTACTCCAATCTCTGCCACATGGTCATCTTCCCTCTGTGTCCTATTTCTATGACTTATGTTGGATTAAGGGCCCATCCTGCTCCAGTATGACCTCATCTTAACTAATTACATCTACAGTGACCCTATTTCCAAATAAGGTCACATTTTGAAGTTTCAGGAAGGACAAGAGTTTTGGGGAGATGGCATTCAACCTAGTGCAGAAGGCTACAGTTAGAAATCTGGGATTCTTTTGCACAGTATGGATCTGGAATACTGAAAGGAATATGAGTTCACTGAAGGAGACAATTAAGCACAAAAGAAGTATGGGCTGACACTCTTACAGGATAAATTAGACAAAACAGGTTTGATACAAAAATAGATATTAGATGAGGAGGCCATGAGAAATGTGGGCTAAAATAGTGTAATCATAAACGTGGACCTCCAGCAGGACCTTAAAGGGTAGGAAAGCTTTAGATAGGCAAAGCTAGGTGGAAACTCTTAGAAGCAGGGAGATTAATAGCTTGATCAAAGGTGATGACCTGTTTGGAAACTAATTGGGTTGGAGCAGAAGGTTTGGGTAGAGTGGGGCTCTGCCAAGTGTATGAAACATCTTGATGGTATTAAGCAAAACAAAACAACAAATCATTTTTGTTATGGGAAATTTCAATGTATGCAAATATATAAGTAGGATAATGAATCTCCGAGTACTCACCCGTACTTTCAGTAGCCACTCTTTTTTTCCTGTGAATTCCTTGCCTCATCTCTCCTCCATTCCTTATTTTGAAACAAATCTAAGACATTTTAGATTGTGCATTTTTGGCTATCCTATGTAACTGAAGGGATATATTGAGGGTTTCTGGGCAGCTAAGGGACATGATCAAGAGAGATGGGAAGGGCCAGCCCGTGGCTCACTTGGGAGAGTGTGGTGCTGATAACACCAAGACCACGGGTTCAGATCCCCATATAGGGATGGCCAGTTAGCTCACTTGGGAGAGCGTGGTGCTGACAACACAAAGTCAAGGGTTAAGATCCCATTACCAGTCATCTTTAAAAAAAAAAGAGAGAGATGAGAAGACATTAAGATTTTATTAGGAAAGCAATGAAAAGTGGCAGAGGGAGAGGGTTTGGTACATAGATTGTTCTCATCTTTTGTTATTTCTTTCATTAAAGGTGTGCGGGATTTTTGTTCCAGAAAGTTGGAAAACTTGCGGCAACCGCAGTGGGTGGTGGCTTTCTTCTCCTTCAGGTATGTCAGAGCTTTTGACACTTGCCTCTGCTTACATAGGTAGCCCTTGGGAACTGAGAAAGTCAAGTTTAGCCATTTGCCTCCTGTCTGTTTTAATAGAAGGTGAAATTTTTCTTTTAGGCATCAGGTTATGGAAAAACTACAATGAGTTTTGAAAGCTGATGTCTGTCATGAAGACAACAATTTAAATACTTCCAAGTTCCTTAAGCATAGTTTGATTCCAGGTACTAAAAAGCTAACTATTAAAATTTGAAGTGCCTTAATTTTTTTTACTACTTACCTAAATTTCCCTTGAAGCATCTCCCTGGCTAAATAAACATTTCACTAGTAATATAACCTACTCATCCTGACCATTTTAAACATTTATTTAAAATTCACACACCCATAATATATAAAATTCAAAAGTTCTCTTTCTCTTCCTGTTTCCTAGCCATGTGGTTTTTCTCCTTGGAGGAAACTGCTGTTAGCAATTTCTAACATTTTTTTTTTAAACTAGAGAAACAATAATATAGAAGGTGGAAAATTGGGTTTAGAAAAATCATTCATAATCCTATTTCTGAGGCAGGTAGATTTGAAATTTTAGTTTTGTTCATGTTCCTCTAAGTATAAGGTCTAATAATGCTTTGCCATTAGAGGATATTTATCAGGATATTATCTGGCATTCACATATATTTTGTATATATTTTTCCAAAAATATCATTCCCTGAAGATCAAATATAGTAAATCCAAAAGTTTAAAATCTCTTGGAATGAATGTTAGCAACAATTTTAAAGATACAGAGAACTGTCAGTTTTACCAGATTTTTTAAATGATTGATGTTCATAGTAATCAAAATCTGACCTCAGCACCTAAGACTTTGATCATGTAATAACCAGTATAGTTGCCTTAAGTACAAAGGAACTGGATTTGTATGTGTTAAGCACAGATTAACACATACAAAATATATTTTCTTTCTATTGGTGACATTATTAGGAATAATTGCTTATAACTTATAAGAGGTGAAAAAGAATATGATTACTATCTAAATTTAGTCCTTTGGATTCCTGCATTGGTACAGAAGAGAATTTGCTTAAGCTGATTTTGACCTGGGTTTATATAGAATCATATATAATTAGTTAATTCTAGCTATTTTGAAGACTCAGTTGTCGTTATTGTTTAGCATAAAAGGGTATTGGACTGAAGCAGAGTTTCCTAAAATGCTCAAAGAATAGAGAGAATTGTATATTTTAATCCATTCTGCATGTCACTTTTTCAGAAGTCCATTCAGTATGCACCATTCAAATCCACATTTTGCCATTGCCACCTCCTACTTTTCCATGCTTAGTCCACATACTCTTTGAAGTCTCTAAGGCAGAGGAACACAGGGCATGTCTGCATCAAACTGATTTTTCCCAAAAATATAACTGCTTTGAAAACTCAGTAGAAAGAAAGTGAAAGGGAAAACAGAGTAACAAATGGCTTTTAGGCTAAGTGCCTAAAATTCTTTAGCCCCACTTTCATATTTTTATGACCTTTACTCATATTTATAGATAGTTTATTTAGAACTTAAAGCTTTTCGAATAATAATATTAAGTATTTTCTGGTAGATATTTATCATACTGCCATCTTAAAATAGACAATGGTATATAAATCTTTTAGTTTTTGTTTTTTTGGAGTTATATATGCACACAATTCAAAGGGTCAAATACTTAATACAAAACTTGCTACAAATTAATCCTTGGCCTTCCTCACTACCCCCATTTTTCCCTCCCTTGAGGCAACCACTTTGAACTCTTAATTGATTCTTAAGGTACTAATTTCCTTTTCCCTAGACAAGTTAATTGGACATTTCTTTTTTGTTTATTTTGGTTTTTTGGTGACTAGCCAGTATGGGGATCCTAACCCTTGACTTTGGTGTTATAACATATTATCTTTTAATTTCATTTTCTCACAAGCTCTTTGAAGTACCCTTGTATTTACTGTGTGTGACTTGTCTTCCCCCAATCCATAATTTCAACCAGCACAATGTTTAGAATATAGTCCCTTCAGTAAGACCTTTAGAAATACATCGTCTAGTGGAGCACTAGCATCTTTGGAAACCATTTTAATTGCATGCCTGTAGACCAAGAAGGCTGGTGAGAGATAGTGAAGTTGAATGTCTTCTCTAATTTGAATTGAGGATAGGTTCTTAGAGAGTGGCAGAGGCTGAAAGTTTTCCTTAAATCACCAGATGCTAGTTTGATGTGATTGCCTTAATAGACTGCAGGTCCAGTGTTGATCCAAATGGTCTGTCCTGCTTCCATGGAATTCTTAGCATCTACACAGAATGCTCACTAATGGTTTATTTTTTCAGTTTTACAAACAACACAATATATAGCCATTTATATACATCTTGGCACACTTGTCTTAAGTAAATATATGTATTTAAGCCTTTTGATTGTCAACTAGCCTTCCAGAAAGTACGTGTCCGTACATCCTCACCAGCCCTATAAGAAAGTACCCGCCAACTTTTCACCCTTTCCGTACTGTACTCTTTGGAAGGAAGTCATTATGTACAGCCCACACTTAAAGAGTGGGAGTTATACTCCACCTCCCTGAGGACAGAGTAAATACATGAATTATTTAGAAATTTTCTGCTGGAAGATTTGTCTCTTCTTTATTTGTTAATTTATTCAGCCATTGATTTATATCAATATGAACTCATGAGTATTTTATACTTTGGGTTAAAATCTAATACTATTTTATTTTATTGTTCAAATTGTTCCAGCTTTGGCCGTTGGGAGCTCTTTCAGTTGTGCATTATCTTTTTTAATCTCTCTGAGGACATAAATGATCCAGTTTTGTTTTGTTTTTTAAATTTCTTTGTACAAAGTCTGTTCCTCTAAATTTCCACACACCCTCACCCCCACTTGTTTATTTTGGTCTTTAGTTTTCATGTTAAAGGACTTCCTCCATGCCTGATGATCTTTGTTGTCTGCTCATATTTAAGAATTGGGCACTAAGAGCTGGTGGAAACCTCTAAATGTGTGGATGGGGCTTTTCTTTCTCTGGGAAAATTGACCAGTTCAAGAAAAATGATCTAAAGACTTGGAGTTGGGATGTTATGTGGGGGGAAAAAAAAGACTTGGAGTTGGGGATGGGAGAATTTTCCCCAATGAAACAGCCCCATATAGATCACTATATAGTAAGGCTCACAAACAAAAAGCTCTGTTTACCTGTTTAGAGCCTTCCAGCCAGACATGAGTCCTGGAAAGCCTGGAATTATTTTTAACTTGGAAAGTTTTATTCTATTGAAACCTCTTTACCTAATTTTATTAAATGTTGTAGGAAAGTCAAATGTTGTTCAAAAAGCAGTTATCACTGCCCCACCGCCTCCCCAATCTGTTGGCTTGTATTTCCCTGTAATTGCTCAGATGAGTTCTGGGTGGACAAGACTGAATTGGGTCCCATGTGGTCAATACTTAGAAGGTATTTGTCAATTAAGTTGGATGTACCTTGAACCCCACTGGGGATAGATTGCTTGTCTTTGGTCAACTCTGCACTGGAGCATGCTGCTGAATTTGGACTGGTATCCTTCAGTTTAACCAGATTTGCCTCCAAGGGAAAATAATGAGCATCTCTCTCTCCTTTTTTTTTTTTTTTTTTTTAACAAAAAAATGACCGGTAAGGGGATCTTAACCCTTGACTTGGTGTTGTCAGCACCATGCTCTCCCAAATGAGCCACAGGCTGGCCCAATAATGAACATCTTAAGGAAATCTTTTCAATGATAGCGGGTCACTTCAGCATCAGACAGAGATCATTCTTTCACTAGTAGACATGAAAGGGCTCTTTGGGATAATCTAGCCCAGCCAGTTTGTTGCTGAGAGTCATTATTTGAGCCAAGTTGGTTAATACAGGATCTAGTGTTTATTCACTGTCTTTGTTATCATTCATTCACTGTGTCTCATTTGCCTGGCATTGTCAGGGACTCTAGAGACACACAGAATCACGGTTCACTGGGAGAGCTAGTATTGGTCAGTGCTGAGCTGGAAGAGTGTGTGTGGTTCTGAGAGAGAAGAGGGAAGACTCTGCTTGGAGTGTTGGGGAAGGAGACCCCAGCGAGGCATTAATGTCTTAACATCTCAAGATTTTTCATTTTCCCTGTAACTGACACTTTACCCCAAAATATGGAGGATTCTTTAAACTATACAAAATCTTTATCTCAGATGACCCCAGATTTATTAATTTTCAGTGACAAATGGCTATGTGGAAATATTTTTATGTATCATGTATAGAATGCTGTTTATGAGAATTTGTTTATTAATTTATTTGGTTTTTTTGGTGGCTGGCCGGTAAAGGAATTGAACCCTGGACCTTGGTGTTTTCAGTACCACACTCTAACCAACTGAGCTAACTGTTCGGCCCCAGAATTTTTATTTTTGGTGGCTGGCTGGTACAGGAATCGAACCCCTGGATCTTGGTGTTATCAGCACCACACTGTAACCAACTGAGCTAAGTGGAAGATTAGCTTTTTTTTTTTTTTTTTTTAAAAGATGACCGGTAAGGGGATCTTAACCCTTGACTTGGTGTTGTCAGCACCACGCTCAGCCAGCGAGCGAACCGGCCATCCCTATATGGGATCCGAACCCAGGGCCTTGGTGTTATCAGCACCGCACTCTCCCGAGTGAGCCACGGGCCGGCCCTAAAATGTTAAGTCTTGAAAATGACAACTGAATTGGGGATTGCTGATAAGTGGTAGCATAGACAGTATTTTTGGTTCTGTTCTATCCAAAAAATAAAGCCATATTCATACATAAAATCTTTATACTTCTCACAAGCTTTGGATTAAGAAAATATGTTGAGATTCGGCAAAAAGTTAAATTCTCCAAAAACTTTAAAGTAATCAACTAGTTTGATTATTTAGTGCGAGTAAGAAGTCTTTTGAATTTATATGTAGAAAAGGCTTCTTTCCCATCACCTCCATACCTGTGACCCAAATTGCTGTGTCAGGTACTGCCAAAAAAGCAACCACTTGCCATTTTATTTGTTCACCACTCTTGTTTTGCTGAGGCTGGAGTTTGAGGTAATAGTAGTTGAATAAATACAAGAAGAAATACAGATAAACAAAATTCTTCAAGGGAATCATTTGCAGAGAAAATAAAACCTAAGATTTCCAGTCAACCTATTTATATAAAATCTGATATTTTTATTTGAAGTATTTTATATGTGGTTAAAAGTCAAAGTGATGCATTAAAAGGTTACAAAGAATGTGTGAGTTTTATAGATGTGGTTTTTTATGGTATGTATGGCTTAGTTGTTCACTACTCGTGGTTATTTATATTCTGATTTTATTATTTGTAGGCACTAATTTATCGTACTGGCTTACACATACCCTATTATTCCTGTTCAGATTTTGCAGTGTCTCAGTAGCACCATATGAGGGTTTTTCTTAACAATTAATATGCATTTAGCTATAGTTTTATTAAAAGAACTGGCATGAAACTTGTAGAGCATATTTCTTTATATTTTACTTTCAAAGGCAATTACCAGGAAGTATTCTTTTGCGGGGGGAGGGGGGGGGAGGCTGGCCAGTGTGGGAATCCAAACCCTTGACCTTGGTGTTACAAAGCTATGCTCTAACCAACTGAGATAACTGGTCAGCTCCAGAAAATATTCTTGATTTAAGTAGAGTCAGAGTTAATGAAGGGCCTTTATCAGGCTACTTTAGATTTTTTAGTGACCTAATAACTGACTAGCTTCTGATCCCTAGCAATTAAACATCTGTTTAATGAAAAGGTACTTTTATTAGCTATATAATTTGCATACTCTGTATCTTTTTATCTAAATTTCCTATTCCAAAAGGTATGATAGAATTACAGTACAGTTATAATATATTTTTTGTAATCTTTTCCCATCATACGCTATACTGTTCTTAACACAGTGTTTATCACATCTAAGTAGTTACTTATGCTTAATGTCTGTTTTCCCTAACGAACCTGAAGCTCTCTGAGGGTGGGGACTTAATGTCTCCCTTGTTCAGTGCATTGGCACAGAGTAAGTACTCAGTATCTTCTGAATGAAAAAATTAGTGCATAAATAGCAATTTCTTACCTGTAAGTTTCATAGATTTTTTTAAAAATCTAAATGTTCATGTATTCCTGGGTAATAGATTAGTTAGCAACCTACTTGGTTTAGAATTAACCGTTTTTATTACATTTTTGCAGATTGCCAGTCACAGTGGCTATGTGCAGATTGACTGGAAGAGAGTCGAAAAAGATGTAAACAAAGCAAAAAAACAGATTAAGAAACGAGCAAATAAAGCAGCACCTGAAATCAACAATGTAGTTGAAGAAGCAACAGAATTTATCAAACAGAACATTGTGATATCCAGTGGATTTGTGGGAGGCTTTTTAAGACGTTATACAATTTTGTGTCCTTTTGCTGTTGTTATTATTGTTGATATGTCTCACTTAGCAGAAAATGAGACTGGGGATTATCTTCTTTTAAAAAAAATTGGTGTTTTTGGTCATATGTCAAGAGTTTTAAGTAAAATTTGGGATCAAACCACCATTTAAATCAATCGTTATTTTTTTGGTGATAACATGGATTCCCCTGCCCATCTCCCACCCACTTTGATCAGCATATAAAAGCTGATAATATTATTCTTCCAAAAATTTTCCTTTGCTTTTATAAATATGTACGTGTGTCTATATGGTGTAGTAAAACTAAAACTATTTTTTTCCTTGAGGTACAATAGTTTAAAGATGTATTTTTTTTTTTTTTTTTGTACTTTTGAGACCGGCTGCACCGCGCTCAGCCAGTGAGCGCTGTGAGCGCACCGGTCATCCCTATATAGGATCCGAACCCACGGCGGGAGCGCTACTGCGCTCCCAGCGCCGCACTCTCCCGAGTGCGCCACGGGCTCGGCCCAATGTATATTTTTTTAATATGATTAATATGTTAGTTTTATTACTGTTATTGTATGTATTTTGTCTCTTTTCTTCATGTATTCTGTTTAGAAGTGAATTGAATACACCCTTGCCTTTATTTTTGTTTTATCCTTTTACTCCCCCAATGTTTTATTTTTAAAAATTTCAAACCAGTTGAAAAGTTGAAAAATGCAGTGAGTACCTAAATACCCTTCACCTATTCACCAAATTGTTCACATTTTACCTCATTCACTTTATCTGTACGTGGGTGAGATTTATACTTTTTTCTTTCCAAACTATTTAAGATATCACGACTCTTTCCCCCCTAAATACCTCAGCATGTATCTCCTAAGAGTATGGATATTCTCCTGTGCAGCAAGAAATACCATTATTAGTTCAAAAAAAAATTTAAGATGATACAGTAATATTTTCTAACATACAGTTCATATTAAAATTTTTCCACGAAATATCTTTTATGGCTTTTTTTCTCAATCAAGAATTATATAGGGGCCGGCCCGGTGGCGCACTGGATAAGTGCGCCGCTTGGGAAGCGTGGCGGCGCTCCCGCCCGAGGGTTCGGATCCCACATACAGACCGGTTCCCGCTCACTGGCTGAGCGAGGCGCGGGAGCAACACCGAGGGTTGCGATCCCGTTGCCGGTCCCCGGTCCGGTACAGGGGCAACACTAAGGGTTGTGATCCGTTGCCGGACACGGAAAAAGACAAAAAGACAAAAAAAAAAAAAAAAAGAATTATATATTGCATTTGGTTGTCATATCTGTGAAATCACCTTTAATTTTAAAATAGTCCTCTCATCTGTGTTTTCTTTTTTTTGTTTGCTTTTCATGGCACTGACGTTTTTGAAGCATCTAGGCAGAATATCCCACAGTCTGGCTTTGTCTAATGATTTTCTCATGACTTTATTTGGGTTAAACATTTTATCAGGCTGATGTTTTTTTGATCTTATACATTTTTTCTTATTGACTAAGTGGATTTTTAATAAATATCATTGTGCCTGCTGTGGCAATTTATTAAATGATCTGTGTTAATAACTTGATGAATGGACCATTTACATCTGCCCTATAGGTAGATTTCTTCCCCCCCACCCCCTTGACCTTTGCTTTATAACACGGATTTCCTTTTACCTCTCAGATTATTGCTGCTGTATACCTGTTATCTCGGTTGCCAAGTTGCTTACTGGGCCTGGCTGTGGGCTCTAGACTCCTTCAGTTTGTAATGAATAACTCTGGAATCTTGTGTGGCATTTGGCACCTGTGGTAGTTGGTGCACAGGAATTTTTGCTGATTTTTTTTTTTTTTTTTAAATACAGCAAACTTCTCAAAGCTGGAAATTTTTTTTTTTTTTCTCAATTTTTTTTTTTTGGCCGCTAGCCCGATAAGGGAATCCGAGCCCTTGTCCCTGGTGTTGTAACACCGTGATCTAACCAATTGAGCTAACCAGCCAGCCTAAATGTTTATTTAATTGAGGAATATAGCTGAAAATGTTACTTAGTGCCAGATTCAATAATTAAGACTATTTTTTAAAATTTGCATCTTTATTTTCTTGGTGGCTGGCCAGTTTGGGTATCCAAACCCTTGACCTTGATGGTGTTAGCACCACACTCTCTCAAGTGAGTAACGAGCCAGCCTTGTGTCTTTTTTATTTTGGTAAAATATATGTAACATCAAATTTGCCATTTTCACCACTTTTTTTTTTTTTTAATTTTAAAGATGACCAGTAAGGGGATCTTAACCATTGACTTGGTGTTGTCAGCACCACGCTCACCCAGCGAGCAAATCGGCCATCCCTATATGGGATCCAAACCCGTGGCCTTGGTGTTATCAGCACCACACTCTCCTGAGTGAGCCACAGGCCGGCCATTTTTAACTGTATAGTTCAGTGGCATTGAGTACATTTGCACTTCTGTGCAACCATTACCACTATTTATTTCCAGAACTTTTTCATCATCTCAAAGAAACTCTGTGTCCATTAAACACTAATTCTCTTCATTTACCCCTCTCTCCAGGCCTTAGTAACCTCTTTTCTACTTCCTGATTCTATAGATTTGACTATATAAGTAGAATCATACGATATTTGTTCTTTTTTGTCTGTCTTTTTTCACTTAGCATAATATTTTCAAGGTTCACCGATGTTGTAGCATAATTAAGAGTATTTTTTTTAAACTTACTTTGTGTTTCAGGCAACAGAATTTATCAAACAGAACATTGTGATATCCAGTGGATTTGTGGGAGGCTTTTTGCTAGGCCTTGCATCTTAAGGACATGAATGTTCTACCATAGTGGATTCAATGTGAGAAGAGAAGTGGTGGCTACAAGGTGATCTGTCAACAGCACAGACCACTAGAGTCTCCAGGGCAAGGAAGAACAACTGGCTGGACAATATTGAACTCACAACTTAGCATTTTGCCATCTGAAGCTTGGCAAACTAGTATTTGCTGTCAACCTATACGGTATGCAAACAATAGTATTCCTGAGCAAAACACTTTCATCATTTTTAAAAATTTGCATCTGTTTAGAAGCTAGCCTATAAAATATCACCATTGGATGTAGATATGGAGAAGAAATAAATGTTGGATTTATTGCCCAGTGAAATATTATCCTCTTTTTATTTAAATAAGGTGTTCTTCATTATGCTTTACAGTTTAGTGCCAATAAATAAAAATTGGTATTATAGCTTCAATAGTAGGGCTGACTTGTTTTTTTAAAAGATACATTTGCAATAAACTGAAGAATTGTAATGGCCTTCTTTGGAAAGCTTTAGAAATAATAGAATTATTAAAGATATTATACAGACTCCTTACTAATGTAATTCAATACCAATTTTTAGGGGTTTTTTTCTTGCTGTTCTTACTTTGCTTATATGATAATTATGTTTCAACTAAGGCTCTTCTAAGGAAATACTACAACATGTTTAAAGCTCTTTTTACTTTTTCAATATCTGTAGTAGTTTTAAAAATATCTTTTTGTATGTCAGCTTCTAATTTTTTATTTTTTCGTTTATTCTGGCAGCCTGGACAAAACTAATTATTTTGGGAGTACGTATGGTTGAGTCATTCATTCCTTTTATTGACCTTGAATGCATCTCCTTGTTCATTTCTAAAATTCTAATTATTTTGGCTCTTTCGCCAAGAAGTGAAAAATTACTTTAAAATGCTTAGTATAGTATGAATTTACTGACTGAAGAACAGTGATTTTCTATGTAATTATGAAGTTGTAGCTTAAAAAGAATTGTCTCCTTGATCTAGTCCGAGATTTAAGTACTAAGACTTTCAGGCTTTTGGGAACATTATATTGATGGACCACTAGGCCAGTTCACTTGTTTTTAGGACCAACATCATACTCCTTAAGAGGCTCCTTTGTCCAAAAAATTTTTCTGTATTGTTAGTTTTGTCCGTAGAGTTCTAGGTTGGAATTGGGGAAAATGGCAGAAGAACGTGTATTGGAGTCTTCAGACTGGAAAGACTTTGTAGATATTCAGACCATCTCCTTGTGAACCTACGACATTTCATGCTTTCAGGATTGGTTACAGTCTGTGTGCTTTCATTATCGCTAGACTCCTTAAAATTGAATGTGGAATCAATCTTTAGTTTCTTCCTTTACTCTCATTAGTGCCTCACATATAATGCTAAATAAAACTCAGACTTTCTTAATATGAAGTGACTGCTTATAAATTCTTATTTCTTCTTTTTTGAGCTTTTCTGTATTTCTGCCTTGCCAAGCTTTTCACTGCTGTGGAACTAAAAGTGACAAATATTCATGAGTGTGATCAGGTCACATTAGGTAGAACCTTGGCCACACTTCTGTGTGCCACACCTGTGTGATGCTGTCATCTGATACAGTGGGGCGGGCTACTGTGGGGAGCTCTAGTAGCTGGCTCAGTTTGTTCGTTTTGAAAGTATCTACAGTGTCTGTGCCTGATACACTAGCGAAGTAGGGAGCACAAAAATTGAGCTTCAATTGAATAGACATTAAAATATTCATATATGAAAGTTATAGGAGAACCTCGCGTGTGAGTAGTAGGAATAACTACTTTGAGAGTCCAAGCATACGGAAGAAGATAACGCTTCCTCTTTACCTATACATTTCTAAGTATCTGTGCAATGTTTGAAAATACTCGTATGCAAGTGCAAAGTATTACCAGTGCTCTCCATACTGTCCCATCTCTGTTAGGGCTCCTTGCTCTGCCTCATGTCCATACTGTTTCTCCCACTAGTTTGGATGCTACTTGGAGCAGTCGTATGTGTTAATCTCTAACCTGTAAAGCACATACAGTAATGCTTTGCTTATAGTAGGTATTCAGTTAATGTTATGAATGAGTGAGCATGTACATGAAAAGCATAGTAACTGTGCTAGATTTAGTATCAGCCTATAGGAAACTGTGTTTCTTCTCTGTGTAGCAGTCCAGTGAATCAGAGGCTCCATCAGAAATTTCTTCATAGGACTTGGTCACAATGAAAAGCCTATACTGTATAGCCTGCCCTTGTCTAAAATGGGGATTTTTATGTTGGTGGGTGTAAAGGCTGTTTGCGGGATTTACTAAAACTTGAGTATGTGGAATTTATTTTGTGGCCTAGGCTTTGAAATGTCTATATAGAGACATTTTGACTGATTTTTATTCTTATAGCCCTACATATCCACCTTAACAAATATAGATTTTTAATATATTCTTATTTCAAATATAAAACAAATGAAATATGTTCATTATAGAAAAATAAATCAGCATAAAATATATAAAATGTTTATAATATGATGTACTTAGAGATTATTATTTTTCATATCTTGGTGTGTAGCCTTTGGAGTCTTTTCTGGCTGCATGAACACGTATATGTGTATATTTTCAGTCATATATTGTGAATATCTTTTTATAATAGGTGAGTTTATGATAAGGGAAAGGTATAACATAAGTGCCCATCCTTGTCCCCTTTTATGGGGGAGAGCTTTTTAAAAGCTCTTTTTACGTATGTTTTAATATACTGATTTTTACTATCAAAGTTTGGATAGTATATATCGAATGTCTACTCTGAAAGGTGAGGAATTTTGTGCATGTCCACTTTCCGTTTGTTTTGACTGCTAATATAGTTTTAGTTTTTGTAGTGGTTGCCATTATTACTTTAAATATACTTTAATTTGTGTCTTTATTTATTAGCTTTAGGTAATATCTGCTAATTCCCTGTAATGAAAGATGAAGACCATATAGCATCTCTTCCCTCTTGATTTTTGTTAAATTGTTATTTTAATGTATATTCAAATGATGGAATTCTATACAGTTATTAAGAGCAATGTAGAGCTGTATAAATTGATCTAGAAAGATATCCACATGTTAGTGATAAAATCAGGTTACGAACAGTTTGCTTCCATTTTTTGGAAAAAAGACTCAGGGGCACGTAAGTATGCACGCAAATGTTTATAGTGGTTATCTCTGAGAGGCTGGTATACAGGATTTTCACTTTGTACTTTCAACATTTTTATATTGTCTGAAGCCTTTACAGTGAGTACATGTTTTAGAAAAGGTTATTTTTTTAGAACCAGGAATAGCAACTTAAAATTATTAGGTTATTGTTATTTTAGGGGGCTTTTTCTTTTTAACTTTTCTGCTTCATTCACTGAATTTATTTTTTAAGTTGTTTTTATCAAAGTAATGCACATAGTTAAGTAGCATTCATTATAAGGCTTCTAAACGGGCTCAATAGTAGGACATCAAGGCTGGCCAATTAGCTCAGTTGATTAGAGCACAGTGTTGGTAACACCAAGGTCGGGGGTTCATCTGGCCAGCCTCCAAAACAAAAAACAAAACCGAAAAAATAAAGAAAAGGAGTGTTTCTCTGTTCTACCTCTCTCCAACTTAGTGGCTTTTTCGTGAGAAGTTTCACCTATATTTGTTTCTCTTGGTATTTACTACAACTATATTTCTTAAACTTTCTATTAGGGTAAACAACTTACCTTGGACTTGCTGTTATAGTAGATAAAGATGTAGCTTCATAACATCTTCCTCTTCACATCCTTGTAGTAACAATTTATTAAATTCCTATAAAGTTTTATACATTATTATGACAAGTATTGTTTACTGTTGAATAAGGACACAACTTCCTATAGGTCCATTTATGTGGGTTCAGCTGGAATCTAGCCTTAGGCTGATCCTGCGAATAGCTTTGGAGCATGAAAGGCACTGTGGTCTCCAGAATAATGGCCCTGACAGATGTCTGTGTCCCAGTCCCTTGAGCCTGTGAATATGTTAGGTTACATGACAAAGGAGATTTAAGGTTGCACATGGCATCAAAGTTGCCAATCAGCTGAGCTCAAATAGATTATTCTGTATTATTTGGGTGGTCCCAATGTAATCACAAAGTTCCTAAATGAGATAGAGGGAAGCACACGAGAAAGCCAGAGAAAGATCTGTGACTACAGAAGGATGGACAGACAGATGTTATGTTGATGGCCTTGAAGATGGGGGAAGGGGACCATGGGCATAGGAATACTAGTTGCCTCTTAGAGCTAGAAAAGGCAAGAAAACAGATTCTCTCCTATTACCTCCAGTAAGGAACCCAGCTCTGCAGATACTTTGATTTTAGTCCAGTGAGACCCATGCCAGAATTCTTACCTCCAGACCCTTAAGATAATAAATTTGCGTTGTTTTAAGGTACTAAATTTGTGGTAATTTGTTACAACCACAGTGGAAAACTGATACAGGCACCGCTGAGTTATCCTCCCTTGTAGCAAGGGGATTAGCTTTTTTGTATCCCCTTGTAAGGCACTGGCTGCATTGTACCCTCAGATTGGAGTAGGTAACCTCCCAGCGAGGGAGGCATTGTCCTAATGAGAGCAGTTCTCAGGAAAATGGTGTAACTCCGCTAATACTAGCACTGGCCAGTGGGTGTGCTGGCCCGATAAAAGGGATCTGATTGGGGCACCAACAGTCTCCACTACAATGTTGTGATGGTTAATTCTAGGCGTCAACTTGATTAGATTAAGGAATATCAAGAAACAATAAAGCTATCTTTGTAGAGTGTCCATGAGGGTGTTTCCAGAAGAGATTAGCATGTGGGCCTGAGTGGACCGCGTAGGACCCATCCAATCCCCTGGGGGCCCAGAGAGAACAAAAATGGCAAATTTCCTCCATCTGCTGGAGCTGGGATACGCTCTGCTCTCCTATTTGTGGACATCAGAGCTCAAGACTCTTCAGCTTTTGGGTTCCAGGACTTATACCAAGGATGCCATCAGCTTCCCTGGTTCTGAGGCCTTCAGACTTGGGCTGAGCCATGTTGGTGGCATCCAGTTTGCAGATGGCCTATATTGGGACTTCTCAATCTCAAACTTCATAATCGCTTGCGCCAATTCCCCTAATAAATCCCCTCTCATATATTTATATACATATCAGTTCTGTCTCTCTGGACAACCCTGACTAATACAAGTGGTTAAATTTAAGCAAACACTGCATGTGTAAAACAATAATGTCTACTTGGGTGGAGGGGCGAGGGAAGACAATAAAACAAATGTAGAACTGAAATATTTGTAGTTGTGGTATAAAGTCCTTGCTCTAGAACATACTGATTAACTTCACACTTTGAGTATGCATGTATGTTACATCTTATTTATTCATTTATCTATTTCTGGCAGCTGACCGGTATGGGGACCCAAACCTATGTTACATTTTAAAGGCAATCCCTAAATGCATTACTGTTAGTTGTGAATAAATACATTTCAAATATACAAACAAGCAATCCAATCTAAATGAATGAGGAAAGGAGAACAAAGAAGCATAGAGAAAGCAGGGTAAATAGGAAGCATAAAATAAGATGGCAAGAGTAAATCCGAATATATCAGTAATCACACTTCAAAAGAAAAAATGAACAGAACTCACAATGTGATTTTATATAAACATTCTGTGTAGAATCAAGTAATGAGATTAGCTCCATAGGAAATGTTTATAAAACTTCACTATTCAGTGGAGAATTCCCCAGGCATCAAGACATAATAAAGCCTCTTAATTTTCTTCTAACTCTTCTGCCCCCAACCCCAATCTTTCAGACTGAGCCTCTACTGTTTCTTATATCTCATATCGTCTTCCCTCTTGGATTACTTGTATTTTTGGTTAAATAATTTTCTTGAGTAGTTCTTATAGAGTGTGGGAGGTAAACTTTCTGAGTTCTTGTTGTCGTAGAATATCTTTTGTTCTTATACAATTCAAGATTGACAATATTTTTTCCTTAGAATTTTGAAGACATTGCTCCATTGTATTTTAATATCTTAGTATCTGATGTTGCGTGATTTCAGTCCGATTTTGAACTTTTCTGAGTAACCTTTTCTTTTGTTGTTTTCTTTGAAAGCTTGGTGGATTTTTTTCTTTAACTAGGGTTTTGAAATTTTGTAAAATTTCTCTCTAAATGTGAGTTTTTAAAAGCTGAATTAGAGAACTTTCAAAATGTGTTGGTGTCCTTTCATTGTATGTTCTTGTCATTACAGAGAAGATACACATAGTTAACATTTAAAAACATTTAAAAATCAAGGCCAGTGAGAGGGTCAAAACTCACTCCCCAGATTGTGAGATTGAGAGCTCCAAAATAAGCATTCAGTAAAAATGACAGAGAAGGATTCAGAATTGTGGAAATGAAAAAACATGTAATTTTTGAGTGGTTTTTTTTTTCATTATACTTAGCAT